AAAACAAACAAAAAAAACCCCACAAACCCACCCAAACCAACCTGACCAAACTCCCCAAATCAAGCCAAAACAAGAAAAAAAAACTAAGTCCCCCCCCGCAACAAAACACAAATCCACCCAAACAAAACAACTGCCCCAAAACAAAACAAAAAAACCCAAAACAAAAAAACCCCACCCGTACCAAATTGCCCCTCAAAACCCCCCAAGCCTCCCCCAAACAAAACAGAAACCCACCCAGAGAAAACCCCCCAAAACAAAACCTCAAAGCAATAAAAAAATCCAAAGCCTAAACAAGAAAAACCCCCACAAAATGCAAACACAACCAAACTGCCCAACCCCCCCAAAAAACAAAAGAAAAAAACCCACCCCCCGAAGGAAAACACAAATCCAGCCAAACAAGAAAACCAAAACAAACAAAAAACCCTCAAACCAACAAAAATTTCCAAACCCTAAACCAAAAAAGCCCACAAAATGCAAACCCAGCCAAACCAAACTGCCCCAAACCAAAAAATAAACCCAAACCAAGAAAAAAAATCTCCTCAAAACAAAACACAAACCCACCCACACAAAACAAAACCCCAAAGCAAAAGAAAAAAGAATCAACAAAAAACCCCAAACCAAAATCCCACAAACCCAACCAAACCAAAAAAACCCTTAAAAACAAATAAACCCCCCAAATCAACATAAAAACCCCAAATTAAAATAAAACCACACACAAACAAACAAAACAAACCCACCCACCCCCTCAAAAAACCCAACACCACCAAACAAACAATTAAAAACCTCAGAGCAAAAAACACCACCACTACAAAAAGGAATTTTGCAGGGGGGAAAAAAAAAGTAATCAAAACAGGAGCATTCGATAGCAAAGCAAGGTGACCTGATGGGCTGGGGACAACCCATGGGAGCAAGTAACTTCTGGAAATTAAAGACCCAAAATCTGCAGCGATGGAGTAACAGACACCAGCTACAGAAGGCTGCCTGGGATCAGCTGCAAAATTTGGTGGATCCAACGTGGATCCAGCATGAACCTAACATGGGCCCAACATAGACCCAACATGGGCTCAATCTGGACCCAATGTAGACCCAACGTGGACCCAATGTGAACCCAACGTGGACCCAAGTGGACGCAACGTTGACCCAACGTGGACCCAACATGAGCCCAGCGTGGACCCAACATGGGCTCAATCTGGACCCAACATGGACCCAAGTGGACCCAACATGGACCCAACGTAGGCCCAGCTTGGACCTAGTGTGGACCCAAGTGGAACCAAGTGGACCCAACGTGGACCCAGCATGGACCTAACTTTGACCCAGTGTAGACCCAACATGGACCTAACTTTGATCCAACGTGGACCCGGAATGGACCGAGCATGGGCCTAACGTGCAAAGATAACCCAGCCAACCTGCTTCAGCCAACTCACTGCAGGTGAGCGAGGGACCAAGACATTGTGTGACTTTTCTTCCACTTTCAACAACTGCTTGTAGCCTGCTTGCTCATGCTTCATCGCAATCAGACACGTCTCGCCTTGCATTTTGGAGAGCTGTACAAATTAATTACTGTCCTGTGCAGCACAGGGAGGGTGGGGAGGGGGGAGCAAAGCCCTTGGTGAAGTGACAGCCTGGGATCATACGGTGAGTCGACAGAAAATCACAGGAAAACAATTATCCCTTTGCACTAGCCTGTGAACACAGAAATTAGGGCGCATCACTGTCTAAATGTCCAGTGGATGGAGTGAGTAAATTTGCTATGTGACAGAAAGGGAGAGAGGGGAAAAGAGAGAAGGAAAATAGAAAGGGAAAATAAATTCTCAGTCTGTGTTTTTATTGCCTGTTCAGAACCTGCTCTTGAGAAACGTGGTGGTGCTGCAAGCCCCATCACTTCCATACATCCAGAAAACCTCAGGATAAATTCAGGGGACCCTAAGCTACCTTTTCCCTAAATCAAATTCAAGCCTGAGTATGTATTTTTCTTTTTGCCTTAGGTAAGAGTTGAAAAATCCATCAGAGGAAGCAGCGTTTGCATTAATGCAGAGCCTGTATTACTGTGAAAGAAAGCACTCGAACGTGACATTTTGCACCAGGGTAGTTCTCCACACAGTCAATAATATAAATAAATTAAACACACGGTTCCGCCAACTTCAGGAAAAAGATAAATTACGTTATTTAACCAGCTGCACTGGCAACAGCAAAGGACTCACATCTCAAAGCTTGTATCCTTTCTGCTGTTGAATTTGCTCTTCAGGATCCCCACAGAACCACAGATGCTCTGGAGTTCAACTGCAAGGCTGGGCCTTGATAGCTAGAAGCCACAGAGAATAAATATGACATTACATAAAAAATTTAAAAAGGCTAAATATGAGTTTTATCTTGATAGCATGAAGTCAGTTTTTAATATACTCGTTTCTCAGAAAGCAGGCACTTCCACCCAAAGAACCCTTCAAAATCTCTCTTTTATCGGTGATGGGTTTCACTGAATTATTCACCAGATCACAGCTGCCAGAGATTTTAAATACACACATGACAAGGCCTGTAACGGAGAGCAACCTCCTCCTGCAGACCTATCAGGGATGCTGACAGTTGCGCCACAGACGCCCCAAGCTGATCCAGTCTCCTTCCAGCAGAGCACATAACAGCATGCCGGGAAGCAGCCTTTCTGTAACCCTCAGACAGGCACACTTCTCAAGAAAGGAAAAATAAATACCACCATTTTTGAGAGATAAACCTGTGGGCATGAAGGTGTCCTCTGGAAGAAATACAAATGCTGAAGAGCAGCCCTATTGTACAGCAAAACAATCCTAATTGTAACAGTGCTGGAGTGCTGTGGGAAGTGGTTCCCAGTTTGGACACTGGACTGGTAAACTGGGGTCTGGGCTCCCATTCTCAGCCGTGTCCTGCCAGGCAACCAGAGCTGAGGCGTTGCACTGCTGGTCTGCTTTCCACAGGGTGGCTGATGTTTCTGGTTAGGTCACAGGTTCCTTCAGGTAAGGATTCATCATCTGTCCGTTCAGGATGTGAGGTGAACAATTAGTGTTTTAATAAACAAATAGGAGTGTTAATGATAAGCAATTTTAAACACACAGAATAACCAAAGGCCAAGCTGTCTGGCTGCTAATCTCCTAAAGACCATTTCCTAGGGACACGGGCTGACAGCTGGCAAGGAGCTGCCACAGCCAGAGATGTTTGGCACTCCCTTCGCATCGCCCGACCTCTCCAGCTCAGCCTAGCTGCTTTACAATTCACAGCAAGAAGGCCAGGATTTTTCTCCAAGCTGTTATTCTGATTGCAATCCTCTACTATTTGGTCCTCAGCGATTCAATTTGTGTTCGCCCCTCTTAATTATCGTTCCTCAATAAAAAGGCCAATGATTCAGTCCCTAATCTGAACCAAAAAATATCATGCCTATAGAGCACACCTGCTCAAGAATATATATGACAAAGGAAATATTTAAAGTATACTGATGTTTCATAGCAAATTAAACTGCTTTTTATCTGTTTTAAAGACAAACTCCCCATTCTGATCCACTGCTCTTTTTGCCTGTGTGAACAAGTCTCAGGTTTAATTCCATCTTCCTTGTTCAAGGTAAGCCTACAGCATTAACTATGACGTTTCACAGGGAGACTTCCTTAGTAGACCAGTGCAGTGGGTCTACATGGCGTTTCAGTGCATCTGTGGCACAGGAAAACGATGCACATTTTGGAGTAAACTGGTTCCACATGGCAATCTAAAGGAATTTCTCAGTGTAGTTGCATTGGAAGTCAAAATGTACACCAAGAACACACACCCCTCTCCACCAAATAAAAGGCATTTGAGTTAGAACCCAGCAGTCATGGATTTTGTATTTGAGGTTTGGGCATTTCTTTGATGTCCTGATAAAATTATATACACTACAACCGTGAAGATCCACATTAGGTTGGGCTTTGAACTTAAGGCTTGCAAGTTTCCTTCCTTATGTCACCAGATCTGTATAACTGCTTGTAAAATGACTAATATTTCCAATCAGGATATGAGGCATGTGCACAAAGCTCCCCTCAGAGGCACCTGCCTGTTGCATTACCAGATTTTATATTGAATAAGGGGTCATCATAAGACCCCTGTCTCACCAAAGGAAACAA